TTATTATTATTATTATTATTATTATTATTATTATTATTATTATTATTATTATTATTATTATTATTATTATTCTTTAATAATCTTATATAACTCAACTGTTATACATTCATTTTAAAAATTAGCCATAATCTGAAGATAGTGTGACCTCAAGTGGTGTCTGCCTCTAAATTCTATTTCATTAATAAAAGATAATGGGATTTTTTCACGATCAATATCTTTTTTCAGGTAACAGGCCTTATTGAGAGACTTCATTCCGTGTTTTTGGATGTCAACAATAATTAAATGTCCATAATCTCATGAAATCTCTCATAGAAAGCTGATTCTTTGCAGCATCCCAGGCACTGTAGTGATTCAGAGTTTGAAAGAAGCCCAAGTGGCCTTCGGTTTATTTTGCCTGGTTTGTGTTAATGTGAAACAAGATTATTTCGTTTTCACTTGCTAGAAACCTATTGGGGCATGCTGTTTCATCTCATGCATTCTGAAAAATTTCCGTTTAAACGCAGTTCTGAATGAGATACTTCTTAGGTGTACACGACAAAAAGCACATTTTGGGACTGGGATAATAAGAGTAAGACTATAGAAAGAAGCACCTAGTGCTCATTTTGTACCTGTGTCCTTGGAGTTCGATGGCTGTTCCTTTTCTTCCTCCAATATCCCACATAATGATGGAATGATCAGAACTGCCTGAAAATAAGACACGCTGCACAGGGTCCCAACACAGGGCACTGATTCCACCTGATGAGGACGGGGTGGGGGTGGAGGAAGAAATGAAGCATGAAGATTTGTATTAGCCACATATAATTATTATTGAGTAATTAAAGATCTGTTATTTTCTATAAGGCATTAGAACCCAGGCAGACAATACAGACCACCTCACTAGTTGCACTAAGGCAGAAAAAAAATCCATGGAAGCTGACTCAGTGACTTGAGGTGGTTACTCCTCCTGGCTCAGCCTACTTCACAAAGTTGCTGTTGAGCATTACTCCCATTTAATTAATTTATCTGTGTATTGAATGTCAACAAATGGAGTGGGTTTCACTTTACCTTCTGGACAACTACTATTAGCATGAGGAAAAATATTCACAGCTCTGGATCCTGGATGTGGATATCTGCCATTCCCTAGCCTGCTAGGGCATACCTGAAGAGAAGCATGTTTTCTGTCAAACAGAATGGCCCAGCCACTGCTACACTCCAGTGCTTCTCCCTGAAATTTCAATCTCTTGTGAAGAAATTTCCCTCTGAGTAGCTACTGCCTTTGAGATCATGCACTCCAGGTAGCATCTGTTCACCTAATATGGGCTAGCAGAGAGGGTGTGCTAGCTAGAAGATCTCATTGGCCAGAAATGAGCCCTTTCTGTAATGGATCCTTCTGGGGTAGTAGCCAGGTGATGTTGTTCCCTGTCCTTTTTTTCCCTTTGATATTCTAATTTTGTGTCCCACAAAAAGAAGATGACTACTGGAAAGAAAGATAGCTTTTAGAAGTCTGGTTCAATCAATTCTAGAGATTGCTGGAAATTGGCTCTATGGCTACAGATTAAGCCCTTCTACATTAAGCCACTGCCTTTCCTAGCCTCTTCTCCTTTTCTCCCACAACTGATGCCTACAGGCACTCAACTTCCCCTAATCTTCCCAACCTTTGTTTCATATTGGAAATACCTGGTTGTGAGTCAAAGTCTGCAGAAAGCCCTTCAGCGGTATGAGAAAAACCATCTCAAGTAATGTCAGAAAAACACTCCTGGGGCTGAAAATAACAAGGTATTCTAAATAGCCACAACATGCAGACAAATTATATTGAAAAGATTTTTCATGGAACTTTGAACCTCAGGATTACATCCATCCTTCCATCTGTCTATTTCTAATTTAGGTACTGCTCGTCTTGCTCTCAGGGTGATTCTTTCTTGTAGTGTGTGTTTCACCTCCATTTATGCTGATCATAGAAAAGTCAGAGCGATTCAAGACCATACCTGTGTGTCCTCTGAAAGTTGTTATGAGGCTGCTATTTTCTTGTTCTAGTTTAAGGATGGTCACTTGCCCAGAATGATCACCAATGAAAACATTCCGGGTCTCCACATCAAATCTGGAAAAAGAGGAGTTCAGGAAACCGACAACACTACAAAAGTCTCTCCCCACTTTTCAGTGCTTGCACGGACTGAACCTTTTCCCCCCAACAGCCAACCCCAAAGAAGCCAACGTTTACTCTCAGGACTTCTAGCAAGAGGCAGCACCTCAACTGGAAAACACCTCATACTTCCCCTCTCAATATAGTAGAAAATAACAAAACAAAAATGTTGCTTTATCACTGAAACTGAATGTTTTGTCCTATATCTCTACCAGCCAAGAACTGCCTCCTGAAGGGGAGCAGCGAAGGTCTCAGCCCAGAGAAGGAAACCTATGCTCTGGATTTACATTTCTTCCGATATTAGGGTATTCATGTTCTGTGAAACAAACAAGTTTCTACTCGGACGTAGGTAGTTCTCAACTTACAGCCATTCATTTAGTGACCGTTCAAGGCTAAAACGGAACTGAAAAAAATGACTTAAGTCCATTTTCCACATTTACAATTGTGCAGCATCACTATGGTCAAAAATTGGGACACTGGACAACTGGCTCATATTTATGACGGTCGCAGTGCCTCAGGGTCATGTGAACACCTTTTGCGATCTTCTCACAAACAAAATTCATGGGGGAGCCAGATTCACTTAACAACTGTGTTACTAACTTAACAGCTGCAATGATTCACTTAACAACTGCGACAAGAAAGGTTGTAAAATGAGGCAAAACTCACTTAACAACTGTCTTACTTAGCAATGGAAACTTTGGCCTTAGTTGTGAGATTGTGAGTTGAGGACTACCTGTACTTTCATTGCTGGCAAACCCAGGTTTTGTTAAGCAAATCAGATTCAAATCCATTTCCTTGTGAAATCCAATGATTCATCTTACTCTCCTCAGCAAACAGTTCTTTTTGACATGGGTGGAGCTCAGTGGTGGGATTCAATTTTTTTTTACTACCAGTTCTGTGAGCGTGGCTTGGGAGGGGCGTGGCAGGGGAAGGATACTGTAAAATCTCCAGTCAGAGGTGGGATTTGCCGGTTCTCCCAACTACTCAGAATTTCCACTCCTGGTTCTCCAGAACTGGTCAGAACCTGCTGAATACCAGCTCTGGTGGAGCTCTCTCTGCAGATGTCAGTTAGGTAGAACTCATCTGCTGTAGACATGAGAGTTATTCTCCCGCCGGTCTTACTTTTATCTCATTCCGGTTGAATGAGGGGGAAAGCCACCTTGATTTCATATGCACTGGTGTATAGATAAAATCCAACTACACCTTCCAAGGCATGACCCAAATATACTAGTACATCAAACTTGGAAATATATAGGAATCGTTAAACTTATTCAAACCCACCCGTACTTGTCCTGCAATCAGATGACACATTTCCAAGCAGCAACTGTTGCATTTCTAGTTCCTAAAATATTCAGTATTTCAAAATACTGCAGAGGAACCAATGCAAGATATTTATGGGCTGTTAAATCAGCATTAATAACTACAGTGTGCCAGAAAGATAAAATCAGTTTCTAATTTCAAGGCATAAATTTACACAGTCAGTGCTTATTTTCTTATGAAATGGCAGGTTGAAAAGGCCTTAAAATTGTATGTGCTGCTGCTATTCCTGGAAAGGATACTGTAACCCGCACGCGCCTGCACTAATCCGGTAACTGCCAAGCCGCTGGCCACTTTCAGAGCAATGCCAAGTAAAGTATTTATCCTGCCCAATGCTCAGGAGCCATTCCATTTCCAAAACGAAAAGGACCATCATCACTCTGCTCTGATGAGCTGGAAGAGGAAGAATAAGGTGGTTAATATCATACACGAGAGCATTTCCTATCCAAGAAATATATCACTTCCAAATGACATTTGTGTTAGTTAAAAGTTTATTGTGATCCTGAAGTAGCCTTCTTCCATTTCTGCTACTGTCGCGTATTCCTTCAAGTTGCCCAAATGACCTCAAAGGAATGCAAATATTATGGAGCTGCAGCATCGTGTTGTGTTATATGCCTAGAACGGCAGGAAAGAAGGGATGCGAATGAAGGAATGGCGTCGAAAAGCAACATGACGGGCTCTGAAAACCAGCCACCACTAAATGGAGCTGCTTTTACAAGAGGAAACTGAGATTTAATTTAAAATAGCACTGAGGGACAACAGGAGTTAATCTTGCTCTCGGATATTAACAGTGTAACCTTTGTGCCTAAGGTGGGACTAGAACTCACCCTCTCCCACTTTCTAGACTGATACCTTAATCCAGGGATGTCAAACTCACGTTGTCACGGCTTCATCACATGTCATATTGCGACTTTCTCCCCTTCGCTAAACCGGGTGTGGGCGTGGCCAGTGTGTGTGATGCATTCGGAATTTAATACTCCTGCCTTAATCACTACAACAAATTGGCTCACATGTCTTTAATAAAGAACTCTGAATTATATAAGTTTCTTGATGTAAGTGCTCAGTCGCCTGAACCGTGAGATGGGTGGTAAATAAATTTGATAGATCAGATAGACAGGTAGATAAAAATAAGTAACTTTCAATGTGGAAGTGTGTCATTTTATTCTAGCTCAATCACACGGAGGTAAATTTTCATTTACTCTTCCCAAACCAAGAAACAAATCTACAGTTTTCATTTAAAGTTATTTATTTATTTGTTTGCTTGCTTATAAAATGTATAGGCCACCTATCTTACCTCAAGGTAACTTGGGCAGTTTTCATTTTGTTAGCTGATTATTACAGTGGCATCGAATTAATGAATCCAAACAATGAAATACTCTTGTGTCTCATCCCTCCAGCATAACAAGAAAATGTTGAGTTTTATATGAATTGTTCCCTTAAAAATGCCATCTATTTGCATTTCCTAATCTCATGTCTAACTAAAGTGATATGAAATCATCACAGGATAAATACAATTTACAGACCAGACCAGAACCCAGCTTCAATCTTCCCAGCTAGATGCTTCCTATGTTTAGTCAGACTGAAGATTATGGGATATGTAATCCAACACAATAGAACAGCAGCACCAGACTGAAGAAAACTGTCCTATCAGAGATCCCAAGAAAAGCTATTTAAAAAAGGAAAAATTATCATCCTGTACAGGTAGGAATTTTTTGACAGAAAAAAATGACTTTCAGCAGGTTCTACTGTTATATAGTTTTACTGACAGCTCTTTAATCAGACTGTAGTATTCATGGTGACTGCAGTATTCACCAGAAGCAGATGTCTTCATGGTGAACTGCCTTTATTGAATCTGAGTAATCAAATCCTAATAAAAGGAAGTCCACAAACCATGCTTCCTAAGGAGTTGTAGTCCAAATATCTAGAGGGCTGCACAAAATCTCTTGTTTCCTTTTCATATGACATTTAAAACGAATGCTTTTGAAGGCCCAGACCTTAATGAACACATTCATTAAGAGAAAATCTGATCATTATTATATAATCACCACTTACAGATTTAGCAAACTAGTTTTCCAATTATTCACTCTTTGAATCCTTAAACCACAGATTTTCTTCGCATTGATAAACTTCTCAGAATATCTTTGCTCTCTTTGTTCCATTATTTCCAGACACAAAGACTTAAAGAACAGCTTTACACCAGGAAACATAGAAAGTGTTGTATTCTGGAATCAGTGTAAGTAACATAAGTGACAACACTTGGAACCAAGCACGTACATTAAATTGATTTCTTCTAATAGCAATTTATTTATGTTATTGACTGAGACTAAATGTAAATGATTTTGAGATGTGAAAAAACAACCAATCATCCAAAAGTGTTGAGCTGCGAAGAAAAAAATGTAGACATCACCCCACTTCATTAGACTGAAAATTGTTTTAAAGTCATAAAGGGGTTTTGCTTGCTATTCCAGACAAATGCCTGAAGTTGAAGATCTGGTAGTGCTGTTATGAATTTAACATAGATTCTTGAAAAAAATAATTTGGAAAGGTGATATTGTTTCAAACTTTTCTCCCAATAGTAGCAAAAGTATGCTATAATTCATAGCCTTGGAACTTAATAATGGAGATGAATGGAATGCAATTATGTTTGCAGGTAGCAACTTTAATTAAAAAGTTAAAAACCACCCTAAAATACACATTATGACGGAAAACAGCCAGAACTATTTAAAAAGCCAGTCTACAATATTGATTGCTTTTGTAGGCTGTGAAATAAGGACAAATAAATCTGCAGGGGATTTTTTTCCTCTTAAAATACCAACTGCATCTCTTACCCTGGTAACTTTTAACTGCTGTCATCTTGTTGTAATCTTCTGATAAAATAAATTCCTGGAAAATAACAGAGTAGCCACTTTAGAATATATTAAATATCTAGTTTGCAATGTAACATTTCTTGTTAAAATCCAAGAATTTATCATTTTGTGCGCCAATCGTTTTGGATCTTATTCCCTTTAGATTCTGGTGAAAAACACATGTTCTTCACTTCAGATTCATCGGCTTGTCTGAAAACTCTGAAGGCATCTCAGGTCAAAATGAGAGAAATATGACCCTTTCAACCATAACCTCCCCACCCCATAAAATCAGGTATCTGTGAAAAATGTAAACACAGCTTGGAAATCCTGGTTTTCCTGCATAACATCTACATAGCCAAGTTCTTCTTCTCAAAAAACAAACAAAAATCTAAAGATACTTTTAAGGTGTGTGTGGCAAACATAAGTTTTGGCCTAGGATTCTCCAAATGTGTTGGGACTACGATTCCCAAAATGCTGATAGCAAATGCTAGGATTTCTAATATGCCCAGAGAGCACCAGATTGGGGATAGTTGACTCATAGAGGAGCTTCACATTTATTTATTTATATCCCACCTTTATTGCTGAGCCCCAATTTTGGTGGGAGTAGAACTCACAGTCTCCTGGCGCCTAGCTTTAACCACTAGGCCAAACTGGCATTAAGGGGAAATGTGATTTGCTAGTTTTACCTTAGTATGTTATGGAAACCCACCCCCTTGTAATATATTTAATAAGCTATGATTAAAAGAAACTGAAGCTTGCTACAACTTCAAGGAAATGATGCAGCTCTTTCTGACTAGAATATGCTTACACAAGAGTACTGGCAGATGGTAGCGATCTCTTTATACCCAATTATCTCTACCAGTAGTGGATAATCAGCAGTTGCTAATCTAATATCTTATCCATTCAAACTGGAAAAGGTTTTCCTGTAACATACTGAGAGAAACATTTCATAGGCACAATTGATGATGATTCATTTATATCAGATTCTCTCTACAGTTATAGGACTTTTGCTAAAAAAGCAGATGAGAAGTTGAAACTAGCCAAGACAAGGCTTAGAGAAAATTTTTAAAAAAGAGCTAATAGGCAATGACAGGATAGTGATTAAGCTGCTACCATTGCTAGAAATCATTCCTAATCTTTTAGAAGTACAATGGTACCTCAGTATTCGATTGCTTCAAAACTTGTCGAATTTGGTACTTGATGCATTTTGATGCAAAAATGTTGTCCTGTTACTTGTAATTTCTTTGGTCTTTGGTGGGTTTGGAAGAAGAGGGGGATGGCTGCAGAGGGCAGGCAGAAAGACAACCATGCTATGTCACTGACATAGGAAAAAAGGCAGACAGAAAGCTTTTCCCAGCCAAAACAAAGGGTAATGTCCTTTGTTTGGCACTCATAGTTTTTAGTATCTATTGTGCCTCCCAGACCAATTAATGTCAAGTACTGAGGTACCACTATATACAGAGAAAGGAGTGATATTTACAGTTATGAGTAGTTTATTCATCATCACAGAGTGACAAGAAAGAAGACAAATGTAAAAGAAGATAGCATGCAGCAATGGAAGTAATTTAGCAACATTAAAAACCAGTGATTCTGGCTTAAAATGATGTTAATGAGGCAATATGATGCCAAACTCAGATAGCAGCAAGGACCCCATAGTTCAATAAGTTACAAATATACTCTTCTATTAGGACGATTATTACTGCTGCATTTTGACTGTGCACACCAGCATCATCAAAACCGTGATACTGGAGTGGAGAAAAATGCAAGTCACATGCACAGATGGCCAATTTTGTTATTTGGATACTATTATTAGCTCGTGCGTTGCTTTTTATTGTATATATTCTTGGTGTATTTTAATTGCAAGAACTGTATATATGGATTGTACGTATTTTATTGTATGTATTTATTGTATGTATGCAGGTGTATTCCTGCCCCACCTAGCCGTTCAAAAGCATGCAAATGTGAGTAGATAAAATAGATACCAATTTAGTGGGAAGATAACAGCATTCCGTGTGCCTTTGGCACTTTTTTCAGTGCCCTTGTAACTTTGAACAGCCATTAAATTAACTGTTATATGTCAAGGACTACCTGTATTTAATAAGAGTATTGTTTAAAAATGTTTACATGTGTGGTGCTTCTCTTTGAGGAAACTAAATACATAAATTGGATAAGTCAATTCCTTCAAAGGACAGGGGAAGAGAAAAAGTGATCTGGATTTTCCAGAATTCAAACCTTTACACAGAAATGCTTCTTACAAAGCAGCCAGATTGAACCTTAAGATGAGAAATTGATTTTATTATTTTAAGAAATGCTGGTACAAGCACCTGCTAAGACAAACTGACAAATGTGGTACAGGAATCAATCCAGGGGTGGGATTCTACAGGTTCTCACCTATTCTCTAGAACCGGTTGTTAACTTTCTAAGCAGTTCAGAGAACCGGTTGTTGGAAGAAATCTCCTTTTGTTTTTTTCCACCCTTCTTACATTCTTGGCAGTATGCCGAGACTTACTGTCTCAGAAGGAGGTTTTTTTTTCCTTTGCTGGTACTTTCTTGAAGGGGAAGGGTTGTTTTAAGCTTTTTACACTGCTGGTGGGAGGAAATACTCCCGTTGGAGTTATGACTTTGAAGAAATAATTGAATAATGAAGCAGAGCTGCCAGAAAGAAGCTTTTAATGACAAGGAACCAAGATGAGTGACATTCAACAAGGCTTCTTGGCTAGCTAGAAAGATTTGACATTCAAACATGAGTTTACATACCCTTTTTGAGTTTTGGTCTAAAACTGGTGACCATTCAAAGTTACAATGGCATTGAAAAAAGTGACTTATGACCATTTTTCACACTTACGACCATTGCAGCACCCCCACTGTCATGAGAGGCCAGGTGAGGAGAAGCGCCCCTTGATGTGAGTGACGTTGAGTTGGCCACACCCACCCAGTCACATGACCAGCAAGCCACACCCACCAACTAAGCCACGCCCACAGAACAGGTTGTTAAAAAAATTGAATCCCACCCCTGAATCAATTGTTTAAAAAGTTCTGAGGATGCATAAAAGGTTTCCTGAAAAATAAGCTGGAGCAAGCTTAGGGAAGAGAAAAAAAGGACTCTGAAAATGTTCCTGTTGCTTCCCTCACTACCAAACCTTTTAAAAATGTTAGCATATTTGAGTTGTTTCTCATGAGGGAACAGGAAACAGAAAAGAAACTCTCACAGCACTTTTGCAAGTGGAGAGAAGGCAGCCTTCCACAGATTTGCTTAATAAAACGGGGAATAGGGAACAAAAAGAAAATTGCACAATGTTCCTGTCACAGAATTTAAGTTTACACAAGAGCCTGGGAAAAAAACAGCACACACATTAAACGAACTCAGCTGTTGCCTAAGGATCCAGTCAACATTCCTTCGTAGTCTTATGTGCTGCCATTTTTCCACATGTGAAAATAAACTACTAACATACTACCCATTTGATCTTCTTTCTGTTTTGGAGAAATTACTACATACATACATACATACATACATACATACATACATACATACATACATACATAC